CAGCTAGCACATTAGGCAGTTTAAACCCATCGCAAACATATATACCTCGGAGTGCTGAGTTCTATACATAAGAGTGCAATTGGTAGATTTTTCTACCCGGGGGAGGTGTCTTATAATACATGAACATGCAGTATGGAGAAAGTTTTTTTTTTTTATTAGCACATTAGTAGAGTTTATGTGAGATAAGTACGGTATATGGGAGTCACGAATAGCATTCAGAATTGTTTAAATAAGGGAGAGGTGTTTTGTAGCGCTACACCAAAACCTGTTGCTTTTATATTTGTGTCCCTATAGAGATATAAAGGTGGTGTGTCAGCGGCTGCTTTAATATACACCCGGGCTATTGGTCCATAGATATATTATTTGATTGAACCCTTTAAATATATGCATTATTTTCCTGTATTTGAAGTGCACATTAAACACAGGTCAGCAGATTCCCATTGACTTCAATAGCACGGTGTGGATGGGAGTTCTGAGGCTGCGATTGACCTGCTTCTCTTTGCATTGCTCTGGATGCAGCAGGGTCTTATCAATGTTTGCATTGCAGGCAAAGCAGGTCAAAGGCAGTTTTTATCTAAGCTTTGTATTTAAAAGCGTATGTCTGAGCCGGGCTGCATTCAAAAGCAAAAGGCAGCCCCTTGTCAACAATGCTTTGTCTACACAGACCCCCAACTGCTCTTTCGGCAGCTGTATAAAATACGACTTTTTTTTTATCTAGCTGTACATAATCATTTCAAGGAGCATTGCTAGGAATGTGAAATACCTGAGGCACCCTGAAAAAAAACAGTAATATGATGCCGAATGGTGTGAGTGTCCAAAATGCACAGTGGCAGGAGTTTACATGAATGTGGTTAAATAATGCATGAACCTACTCTGCTTGGATAAAGAGTAAGTAATGCACAGAGTGTAGGGGTAAGGAGTGAGTAATGTGCAGAGCGCAGGGGTCCGGAGTGAGTAATGTGCAGAGCGCAGGGGTCAGGAGTGAGTAATGTCAGAGCGCAGGCGTGAGTAATGTGCAGAGCGCAGGGGTCAGGAATGAGTAATGTGCAGAGCGCAGGGGTCAGGAATGAGTAATGTGCAGAGCGCAGGGGTCAGGAATGAGTAATGTGCAGAGCGCAGGGGTCAGGAATGAGTAATGTACAAAGCGCAGGGGTCAGGGGTAATGTCAAAGCGCAGGGGTCAGGAGTGCCTAACACAAAGAGTGCAGGGGTCATAAGTGCGTTATGCACAGAGCACAGGGGTCAGGATGGCATATCTCACAGAGCGCAAGGATCAGGAATGCCTAATGAACAGGATGCAGGGGTGAGGAGTACCTAACACAGGGAGTGTATTGGTCATGAATGCTTTACGTAGGGAGCAGAGGGGTCAGAAGTGCGTAATGCATGCAGTGCTGGGGTCAGGAGTACCTAATATACATACATATCTCAGTGGTCAGGAATGCCTATAAAAAAGAGTGCAGGGGTCATGAGTCCCTAATGTACAAAGTGCAGGGGTCAGAAGTGCCTAACACAGAAAGGTCAGGAGTGTGTAATATGCAGAGCGCAGGGGTCAGGAGTCCCTAATGTACAAAGCACAGGGGTCAAGAGTGCCTAACACAAAGATTGCAGGGGTCATAAGTGCATTATGCACAGAGCACAGGGGTCAGGATTGCATAACTCACAGAGCGCAGGGGTCAGGAGTGCCTAATGTACAGGATGCAGGGTGAGGAGTGCCTAACACAGGGAGTGTATTGGTCATGAGTGCTTTACGTATGGAGCAGAGGGATCATGAGTGCATAATGCATGCAGTGTGGGGGTCAAGAGTGCCTAATATACAGATCTTAGTGGTCAGGAATGCCTATAACAAAGAGTGCAGGGGTCATGAGTCCCTAACATACAAAGTGCAGGGGTCAGAAGTGCCTAACACAGAGAGGTCAGGAGTGCTTAATGTGCAGAGTGTAGGGGTCAGGAGTCCCTAATGTACAAAGTGCAGGGGTCAAGAGTACCTAACACAAAGATTGCAGGGGTCATAAGTGCATTATGCACAGTGCACATGGGTCAGGATTACATAACTCACAGAGCAGAGGGTTCAGGAGCACGTAATGCATGCAGTGCAGGAGTCAGGAGTGCCTAATATACAGATCACAGTGGTCAGAAATGTCTATAACAAAGAGTGCAGGGGTCATGAGTCCCTAATGTACAAACCACAGGGGTCAGGAGTGCCTAACACAGAGAGTTCAGGAGTGCGTAATGTGCAGAGTGCAGGGGTCAGGAATCAATAGTGTACAAAGTGCAGGGGTCAGAAGTGCCTAACACAGAGGTCAGGAATGTGTAATGTGCAGAGTGCAGGGATCAGGAGTCCCTAATGTACAATGTACAAAGTGCAGGGGTCTGGAGTGCCTAACACAAAGATTGCAGGGGTCATAAGTGCTCTATGCACAGTGCACATGGGTCAGGATTACATAACTCACAGAGCATAGGGCTCAGGAGTGCCTAATGTACAGGATGCAGGGGTGAGGAGTGCCTAACACAGGGAGTGTATTGGTCATGAGTGCTTTACGTACGGAGCAGAGGGGTTAGGAGTGCGTAATGCATGCAGTGCAGGAGTCAGGAGTGCCTAATATACAGATCACAGTGGTCAGAAATGCCTATAACAAAGAGTACAGGGGTCATGAGTCCCTAATGTACAAACCACAGGGATCAGGAGTACCTAACACAGAGAGGTCAGGAGTGCGTAATGTGTGGAGTGCAGGGGTCAGGAATCCCTAGTGTACAAAGTGCAGGGGTCTGGAGTGCCTAACACAGAGAGTTCAGGGGTCATACATGTGTTACACACAGAGAATAGGGGTCAGGCGTGTGTAATGTGCAGTGCGCAGTGGTCAGGAGTGTGTAATGTACAGGATACAGAAATCAGGAGTACCTAACAAAGAGTGCAAGTTTTATTAGTGCTTTATGCAAAGAGCATAGTGATCAGGAGTGTATAACGCACACAATACTGGGGTCAGGAGTGCATAATGTGCTGAGCACAAGAGTCAGGAGAGCCTAATTTACAGAGTGCAGGGGTCAGGAGTGCGTAATGTAAAGAGTACAGGGGTCATGAGTGCACTGCACACAGAGCACAGGGATCAGGAGTGAATAATACTCAGAGTACAGTGGGCAGAAGTGCTCAATCATGTGCTCCTACGCGCACATCAGGCTATTAAATTAGTTGCAGACTTTGGGTGTGCTACACACATCCAAGAAAACTTCATCATTGTACACAGGACATGTGTAGCTTTTCCTGTCTCTCTGCCCTGCTTCTTGAACCCCTCCCTCCCAGTATACAACAGTTGTCAGTGTCAGGATGGGCATGCCAGTATTTATTTATTTATTTTAGGTACTTATATAGCGATGTCAATTTATGCAGTGCTTTACATATATATATATATATATTGTGCATTCACATCAGTCCCTAACCCTCAAGGGGTGTACAATCTAAGATCCCTAACTCACATTCATACATACACATACTAGGGACAATTTAGACAGGATCCAATTCACCTACCAGCATGTCTTTGGAGTGTGGGAGGAAACCCATGCAGGCACAGGGAGAACATGCAAACTCCAGGCAGGCGGTGCCATGGTTGGGATTTGAACCAACGACCCTAGTACTGCCAGGGGGAAATGCTAACCATTTAGCCACTGTGCTGCCCCCCGCATCCAGTAGACAGGATGGTTCCTCTAGGCAGACTTCTGTGCATCTTCACAAGCTAATCCATAGTCCTTCTCATGGACCTAGGAATTGGGCACATGCACGCAACAATGCATGCATCAGTGCACATACATGTGTACATCAGCGTGCTTACATGCGCTCGTGACAGATGGTGGCGCCAAATGGGCTATTCAAACTGAGCCAGTGCTCAGGTTCAGTCCTGCTTTGTCTTCAACCTTTTTTGTTTCCTGAGAACCTGTGATCCCGAATCCTGTTGTTGATCCAGCTGATCTTGAATACTCCTTGAACTCTGCCTGCACTGACCTCAGCTTGCCTTCTAAACACCTCTTCTGCCAGCTCCATTTGCTACTGCTTCACTGATCTGCTCCTGACCCGGCTTGTACCTTGACCATGCTTTTGCCTGTGCCTAGGGCTGCTGTTAGAAACCACATGGGCCCCATACAGCCAACCTGCCCCCCCCCCCAAAAAAAAGCATTTTGAGTTGGCTTTGAGGAAGAGGAAAATCCTCGAAAAGCGTTAGCCTGTTGGAAGTCCAGAGTTCCCATTGTGGACAAACACGTAGTGCAGATTGGACACAGCTGTTCTTTCATGATGTGCCTTTGACAAAGGCTCATTCACATGTTTCTCCAATGACCAGACTAGGAATGTTGTTTTTGTTGTTTTTATTTTTGGAGAACTTGAATAGAGTTGAGGGAATTAGATGGGATACTCCAAAAACAAAAACTACATACACATCTGTTCTTTCATGATGTGCCTTTGACTGTATTGTCTTTTGTGAGTACAATACCTTCTTTTATCGTTTTATTAAACACTCGCCTACTGGGCACTTATACCCCCTTCATGCCCAGGACAATTTCCAGCTTTCAGCGCTGTCACATTTTGAATGACAATTGCGCGGTCATGCAACACTGTACCCATGTGAAATTTTTATCATTTTTTGAGACAGATAGAGCTTTCATTTGGTGGTATTTAATCACCTCTGGGTTTTTTATTTTTTGCTAAACAAACCAAAAACCACTGAAATTTTTGAAAAAAAAACGTTTTTTTCATAGTTTTTTTATATTTTTAGTTTTTGTTATAAATAATTTTAGTAAATAAGTGATTTTTTTTTTTCCATTCACTGATGTGCGCTAATAAAGCTACAGTGATGGGCACTGATAAGTGGCACTGATGGGTATTGATGAGGATGCACTGGTAGGTGGCACTGATGGGCATTGACAGGCATCACTGATGGGCACTGAAAGGCAGCACTCATATATGGCACTAATAGGCGGCACTGATAGGCAGCACTGTTAGGTGGCACTGACTGGCACTGTTGGGTGGCACTGACTGGCACTGTTAGGTGGCACTGATAGGCAGCACTGATGGGCACTGTTAGGTGGCACTGATGCGCACTGATAGGCGGCACTGACTGGCACTGATAGGCGGAACTGACTGGCATTGATTGGCAGCACTAATAGGTAGCACTGACTGGCATTGATAGGTAACACTGCAAGGCAGCTTAGATGGGCACTGATATGTGGCATTGATGTGCACTGGTAGCCACTGATATGTGGCATTGATGTGGCACTGATGGGCACTGGCAGGTGGCATTGATGAGCACTGACAGATGGCACTGATGGACACTGACAGGTGGCACTGCTGGGGCTACACAGATCATCAGTGCTCTGATGATCAGTGAACATGTCCCCTCTGAGTAAAGCCGATTACCGGCTCTCCTCTGTCAGCGTGACAGCTCGTGATGAAAGAAATGTCGATAACCGGCATTTCCCTATTTACATGTGATCAGCTGTGATTGGACACAGCTGATTACATGACCGAACCGACATCTTCGGCTCTTTCCATTGATCAGTGATCTGCTGTGTCCGAGGGACACAGCGCAACATCGATCGCCGTGCTGCGCGCTCCTGGAGCCGCACATGCGCGGTTGGAATGGGAGGACGTCTTATGATGTCCTCCCAGAATGAGAGAACCGCCTTGCACATGTCATTATCTTATATGGTGGGCGGGAGGCGGTTAAATGTTTTTTAAGGTAATGCACTAGGCCGGTGCGCCCTCTGTTTGTTTTTTTCTTTATTTAGTACATTTGGACTTCCCCGGTCCTCTGAATGCAGCAAGAAGTGCACATTCCAGGACATTCCAGGACATTCGCGATGTGGTCTTAATCTACACTGAGTCCATCCCTATGCGCAGGAGTATATGGGTTTGCTGTTTCCTTGAATGAACCTTTGTTCCTGGCTGCAGGACAAAGCTTGTGGGGAAGACCGAGACAGTATTCCTGCGGCTTCTTCGGCAGTACCGCTACAAACAGATACAGAGTTTTAAGTTAAAAACAAAGTTTTTTGTTGCATACATTGCAAGTATATGTGAACCCCCACACTGCGGTTTCAATGCCCTTCTGTAAAGCATGGTCCCTAAGGACTAGGGGTGGACTGACCATTTGGAAACTCAGGCACTGCCCGAGGGTCCGGGGTCAGTAGGGGGCCCAATGAGATGCCCCTGGTACCTTTTTCATAGGTTTTTTTGACACAGGGGCCCCACTATCCCCTATTGCCCGGGGGCCCAATGAGTTGTCAGTCCGCCCCTGCTAAGGACCCATTTATACTACCACATTAAGGTAATGCGTGATAACACACGTTACATACATTAGTGTATGTATGAATGACACCCCAACGCACCTCGCAGATGGTTGTGCTTTTACCTGTGCAGTGGTGAGCTGCCAGAAATGGTGCATCGTGATGGCATAAATGGGCCTTGACTTTAAACTGATCCCAACTATGTTACATATATACGGCAATGAATGAGGCTCTTTATAAAGAGACATCAGAAGTCTGTTAGACCCCTAATAGCTCCACTGCACATTGCCAAAGCAGATCAGGTACAAAGAGCCCCCAATCTGCTCATTAGACTAGCCAGAAGGGACACCCGCAGCTCAGATTCCTCCTGAATCAGCCACATTTCTAGCCATGCATGGCGGGCTTTAGATGGCCAAGATATGATAGCAGTGAATGTAGAATTTCTCAGAGTAGAGCACTTTACTGCAGCCCCTTACTTGACCCCCCTTATATTTACCTGAGCCCCATCACAATCCAGCTCTGTGCATGAGAGCTGCAGCTCTCCTGGCTTTGTCTCTTCTCACTGGGCCATTGGCTCCCGCTCCTATCAATCAACTTCAGTGACAAGGGAGCAAGGGGCAGGGCCGAGTCCCACTGTCTGTGTCAATAGACACAGCAGCGGAACTCGGGAACAAGCCCACATGAATGCCCTCATAGGAATCAGCTTCCTATTGGGGGCACCTGCAAGAGAGGAGGAGCCAGGAGCGCTGGCAGGGCACCCAAGAAGAGGATAGCCAGGGCTGCTCTGTGCAATTCTATTGCACAAAGCAGGTAAGTGTAGACATGTTTGCTTTTTGTTTTTTGTTTTTCCTTTACAACCACTTTAGCTCCTGACAAGAAAAAAAGAAGACTTTAGCCCATACGTTGCTTGCCAGGGTGTCAAGGAATTGTTATACTCACATAAGTGTATGTCCTCTATCTAGATTACAGTAAATTGTTCATGAACAAATAACTTCCTTCTAAAAACATTTGTTGATTGGGCATTATCTGTCTAGTCAAACTTCAAAATTAAAGCCCAAGGGAATGAAAAAATCCACCCTTACAATTGGCCCCCAAGGGTTTCAAGTGACACTAAACGATATCCTTCTTCTCTAAAAATATTCCATTCATATCCACTACTTAACTGCCCTGTAATCTATTTTCATAAAATTGTTTCTTACTGGGCTTCTCTGGCTCCCTGAGACATCCTCCATGATCTCCCACTCCTCCAATTTTCCATCTCACTTCCCTTTGTTTGGTACAAGCAGTGCATATTAGTTGTGGTCAAGTGCACTGCTCTATGCACACTACACATTCCATAGTATCTGACTACTTTTATGCCTTGCATTAAGGCTGAATCTAGCCTGTCCGATGTGGGGGTGCAGTAAAAAATGCCAGGGGGGCAGAGGATGGGAGATCAGCAGGGCAATGTACAAGGGGTCTGTAGGGCAAAGGATAGAGTCAGCAATATGTAGGGCAGTGTACATAGGCCATTAGTTTGCAGGGCAATGTACAGGAGACAACAGAGCTGAGGACAGGGGTCACTGCTGGCAGGGAAGAGGACAAAGGTCACAACTGGCAGGGCAGAGGACAGGTGACACTGCTGGCAGGGCAGAGGACAGGTGTCACTGCTGGCAGGGCAGAAGACAGGTGTCACTGCTGGCAGGGCAGAAGACAGGGGTCACTGCTGGCAGGGCAGAAGACAGGGGTCACTGCTGGCAGGGCACGCAGCAGACCTCCTCCTCCAGGAGAGGACAGGGGAGTGGTATAAGCAGCCTTCCCCACCCCGCTGGGACCCCCTGCTGACCAGATCATTGATTTAGCTGGGCAGTACATTTACTTGTACATTTACAAAGCTGTATGGAGAGGGTAGCTGTCTGCAGTATGATTCAGTGGGCAGGCAGAGTGTTCAGGGTGGAGGGGTTGTGGTTGGCTTTTGGGGGGCACAACTAAAATCTGGGAAGACGTAGCCCACCCCAACACTAGTCTAGATCCGGCCATGCCTTGCATACTCCCTGCCATCCCTGCCATATCCCTGCCATAATTCCTGACTCTGTTCCTGTCCATCTGGGAGTCTCGGGTGCCACCAACCTTTGTGTACTGCAGGTCCTTTTACATTCTCCATAATATAAAGATCCAGCAAGGAAAGTAATGTAAATGAATCTCAGCATGGACCAAATGTCAATGAATCCGAGAAAGAGGTTATAGCAAAATTAACTAATGCATTCTTTTTATTCGGATGACATCACATGATTCAATAGTAGTTTGGGCCCACGGAGAAATGAATTCAATTTTCAAATTTTTTGATAATGTATATTGTGATAATGAATGGATCCAAATTTCATTCCCTTGTTTAATTTGGATGCACATGATGCCAGTCGATATTGTCCAATCAACTCATGCCATTTCTCATGGTAGGTTGGACTAGAGTCTGAAAATATAGAATCCTTCCGATTCTAATCTATCCGGTTCGATAATAGATCGAATATATAGCAATCTTCTAGAAAAACTGCAACATTTTTCAAATCCACCTGAACAGATGAATATATGAAACAAATGCCGAAGATACGAAACAAATTCTGAAAAGTAATCGGGTCAACATAACAAATATGACAAAACAAAATTATTCAATGAACAAATGAATCCGAAACTAAACAAAAATCTCCAGTGTGCAAATGTCTAATCCACAGAACAACACAAAAATTCCCCAGGACACTTAAAAAAACCTATTTAACCATTTGATGTCCCGCCTCAGTATATTTATTGCGTCAGGGAGGCATTTGCAGGTTCAGTCACGTATATATATATACAGTATGTGATTGAGCCTGCACCTGTTTAGGAGCGTGCAGCACATCCAAAAGACACAGCGGATCACTAATACTGGTATCCGGTAACTGGGTATCATGTGATCGCTATGATTGGTCATAGTGATCACATGACAACAATGTAAACAACCTGTCTTGAATGGTTTCCCAACTTGCTTACTATGATCTGTGATTGTCCCAAACAATCACATGGTACCTAACTTCCTGTACTGTTTTAATGTTTTAGATTAAATACCAAGGTTTTTGTTGCATACATTTGCAAAGTCATGTGAAGTCCCATGGCTGCTTCAAGTCACCTTTAATCCTTCTACACTGTACTTAAAAAAAAAAAAAAGAAAGGTTGGGAGAGTACTTTATTATTGAATGTGCTCCGAAGGAGATATTTCTCCTAACTTCTTGTACCTGTGCAATGAAAAGAAAGGGTTTCCCCACCAGACAGGACATAAAGGTCGACCAATTTTTGAGGTGTCCCAGAACCAACAAACAAATCCTATTTATGGAAATAGCCATACGAGGGACACAATACATCCTTCCTTGTATCCCTAAGCCTGGAACACACAATGACAATATCGGACAAATGATCTTCTGTTTTTTTTTTTGTTTTTTTTGGCATGCTAATTTTATATAGAAAACAAATAGGTTACTAAAGTTATGAAAATTCTCCTAAAACAGAATACAACTTCCATGATGATGTAATGTATTGTAGTGTATTCTTTCATTTTCGAGCATGCGCGGTCTTGGTCAATCAATTTTTTATGGACAAATACTGTACTGATTAAACAAAAACCATTTGTTTTGTTATTTTACAAAAAACATTTTCGTGCTTGCACCTTCAGATAATGAACTGTCATGATTGGCTCTTGAAAGCTGTGTACTAATGATCAGATTATCAGGCGATTGCTCAGAAAACGATATTTTTTGTCCAATTTTCTCATTGTGTGTATTAGGCATTGCACAATACATTCCTGCTCTAGGCTGCACCCCAATGCCCTTGATGTCACTATGCAGATGCTGTCCCCATTTCACCTTCCATGCCTATGTGGTGGTAGGCTGACCTCACCAAAATAGCTATTTGGGCCATCAATTATGGAAGTTTTTCAGAATGTTCCACATTTCAGGAAAGGCTATAATCACTGTTGTTTATAAGCATACAGTACAGTTGAATGGATCAGACTGCCCAGTTGACGGTGGTGGATGACGGGGGTGGAACTGTAAATATACATGGGCGCCTAGTGATCCCTGCCTAGACCAGGCCTCCCTCTGAGTCCAAGCCCTTACAATAATGAAATAGTTCAGAATGGGCATCTCCAGTGTGATGATACACTCTAGAAGTCCACTTAGCAGCTAGGAGATAGAGCAGAGACACAAAATCTTCAAAGTAATGCAGG